TCTATCTATCTATCTATCTATATATACAGGTATGGAAGAGAGATCCAAGGTTTACGGTGCAATGGCAACACCAAGAAGTTTGGTGCTTTAGTTCCTTGTCCAACACTTCCTACTGTAAGTTTAAAGGAAATGCGAAAACACTCTAAGCTGGAAAACAGGGAAACTTATACCTTAATATTTGGGCCAGGCCTCAAAGGGTATTGGCTTTCGAAGGCCACTACATTACCCAGAACTAAACCCTGAACCCTGAACCCTAGAAACCCTCTGTGAAACCCTATAGACCCGAAGTAACCTCACCCGAACCCTTGCAACCTAGGTGCTGAACAAACTCGCCAGGCGGGGGGCACGCGACAGCGACTGCCGAGTCGAGAGCTCCTCTGACAGACAGGGATTCGCAGGGGTGTTTAGGCTTCCAGGCTTCGGGCTTTAAGTAGAGTTACAGGCTTTCGCAGTAGAGTGTAGGGGTTAAACTACCGCAGCCTACTTTTTCTAGGCCCTTATGATAAGCCCGAGTATGGAATTTAGAGGGGGGCCCTGCAAAAAAGTAGGGCTTAGGGGATAGGGATGGTAGAGCTTAGGGTTTCATGAGGGTTTAGGGGTTGAGGGTTTTGGATGCAGGGTTTGGTGAGGTTTCCTAAACCCTAAACCCCAAAGCCCTCAACTTGAAGGCCGGTTCTGTTCAGCTTCAGCGTGAGGCAGAAAGGTTTGCCAGTCAACCGGAGCGCGTCTGCGCTGTGCAAAACAAAGGCTTCGAGAGCAGTCTCATCCTCAGCTCATCCAATCACCATAGTTTTGGGCTTTGATGTCACAGTCGAGGTTTGCTACGAAGTATTTCCCAACCACTAATCCGTAGGTAGTAGTCAACCACCGAATGCTCCGACCGCACGCCGAAACGAACCCCCAAACCACCCGGCTGAAAATATTGCGTTGCAGCTCCTACTGAATATATTCCAAAACCCTAAACCCTAATAATACCCCGAGACTCGATTCCCAATGTTCAGGCCCTTTTCCTGCACCGGCTTGGTGAAATGGTCGAAAAGAGCCCGGGCGAGTGCCAGCTTGTGATGACCTCCACAACGGAATCGGGTTTTGGGTTTGGGGTAGGGCTCGGCGAAACGGCCTTAGGTCTCGGTATGAGGTTTGGCCAGTTTAGCCTGTCCCACACAGGGGAGTTAACAACTAATCCTTCCACATGCATAGTGCTTACACAGGGCCACGCGAAAAGTGTGTGTTTTCGGGGCGGGGGGAGGGTATGATCTCTACTTTCGCTTTTGGTGGATCTTGCTTTTGCTCGTGCTCTTGCTCTTGCTGCAGTTCGCGTTCCTGCTCCTGCTCCTGCTCCTGCTCCGGCTCTTGCTACTGCTCCGCTCTTGCTCCCGCTCCGAATCAATCTTAGGTTTCGAAAAGGCTGAGACGATTTTGGTTTGATATTCCGATGCATGGTTTGATTTTTGGGTGGTGTGCAATAAAAGGGGGAAGTAATCATGATTCTATCAGGGAATAAAACGAAGAACGAAGGTCCGGAAATCTTAAAGCCACCCATCACGGGATGGCTAAGTGGGGTAGTGTTTCAAGCATCTAGAGCTCGTCTGAGGCCCCCAAACGCAAGTTGAGCCCCAAAGTCGCTATTTAGGGTTTAGGGTTTAAGGGCATGCTAGCAACTCTTGTTATGCACATACCTGCAACTGTACAGCGTTTAGGGTCGTTAAGCTTTAAGGGTTTTCACACGATACTGACAGCGGGAGAAAAGCTATGCGGAGTAATTACAGATTACACTTTCTCACGATGGGATCCGAATCAAAAAAGGAAATCCACCCTCTCATATGGACATCTTGGGGACACGTGATGAGCCATAAACAAAATATCCTAGAGTACATACTTGGGTTCGGGGTTTCGATTGTTTAGGTTTGCATGGGATGCCCATGTTGGTATCCAAGAGTTTTCACAGACTCGGCGATGAAGCACTGCGAAACAACTCAGGAATGAGACAGACAACGAGCACAAAGCCAAAGCAGCAACATGAACGAATCACAATGCGTACACGAAAACCACGTCACTAAAGAAAGCATATGCATAGACAGCACTGAGCGAAAAGGAAAGATCCAATTTTGAACCGAAACACTGCACCCTAAACAAGAAAGCCTAAGCACGACAGCAAACCGAGCAACAGGTTTAGAAATGAGGGTTGCGGCTTCATCTGCTCATTTGCTCCAAAAGTTCACTGCGTCTTCAATCAGCTAGTACTAAGTGCACCATGCCATTTTGTAACACCGGAGTACAAACCCCAAACCCTAAACCCCAAAATCCTGGAAGCTTGAAGCTCCAGCGGGAAAATGCTGAGCATATGGGTAGCTTTCTAAATCAGGGTCCCTTTTCAGGTCCTGTTTATGAGGGTGCCGTACTATATTGGGGACCTCACAAGGGACCCTAATTTAGAGAACTACCTATATAAGGCCCGAAACACCTCTGCCGGCGTTTACAACCTCTTTCCCGCGCCAGGGGGCGGAAAGAACTGGTTCGGTGGAACGAGACAATGGTAACCATGTCCTCCTGAAGAAGTCGAGACCCAGATGGAAGGGTTTAGGGTTTATCGGGCCTAGGGTTTAGGGCTTCTGGGGCCATAGGGTTTAGGGATTTACGGGTTTCGGGTTTGTGGGGCCTAGAGTCTGGAGTATAAGATGAGGCTTTCGAGTCTTAAGGTTTAGAAGTTTAGTGCTCGGGGTGATTTGGGGGAGTCATCGTGCCGGGTACAGAGAACTCGCAGTCTAACACGGGTTCTCTGCAGGTTCGGCATCTCTGATGCAGTCGGGAAGCCTAGTGGCATATTGAAGCCCTCACAACAGTCCTATGATGATTTGTTTCGGGCTTTATTTCGACGCTGTCGAATCTCTCAATGCTCCAAATTCAGGGCGACGCTGCGGTTGAGGGTTGCTTCAAAACCGTCCTGATTCTGTTTGAAGGTCGGTCTGTTGAATCTCGTGCAAGAGGCTCACGAGATTGTCAGCCTGTACTGACCTCAAGTCTCGGACGAAGCCCAGCGATCGGGATTCGGGTCGAGCATTTCAAGCTTAATGTTGACAGGCTGATAGGGCTACCTGGCCCCCAGCCTCTGAAGCTAAGCACATCCCTGAAGCCCAGTTCCCCACAGAGTGGGTTTGTCTTCTCATAGAGCTATGGTATATTAACCTAACTGATTGCACAAATATCAAATAACCGGGTCTCTCATCTAGGGCCATAACCACTACTGCTCATCCAGAATAGGGAGGCTACCGTAGTTCTCAAGAATTCGGGGTACCGGGTACGCCTCTGGTTCCGTCCTGGGGCGGGCTTCACGCATGGTATCTGTTACCGAGAGCATAGCAAGGTCTCGGAAGGTGTCAGGCTGCTAGGTTTCGGACGCACAGTTTAGGGTTAGGAGGTTCGCAAGCTTTCGGTGTTGGTGGGCTTGAGGTTGAGAGGATGTGGGATTTACGATTTCGGATTGTGGAGCTACTGAGGCTTCAATTTGGGATTTTGGGCTTTGCGTTGAGGTGCAATCTAGGTTTATGGAATCTGTAGGGATCGGGGTCTGGGCGCTTTGCGGCTTGGAGCGTTGGGATTCGCAGGGTGGGCTTGTGGAGTTACTTTTTGGATGTGATTTGTTTGGGTCTAGGGCTTAGGGTTTAGAGCTTACTCTCTAGTGGGTCGTTAATTAAGCCTTTACAGAAACGATCGGCTTATGTTGTCGGACCTGTTAGCGCTTCAATTGTCTATGTCTCGGGTCTCGGGTCGAGGGTTTGGGATTTGCGACTTGAGGCGATGCAGCTCGTAGGGGTTTAAAAAGCCCAAGTGTAGGATTTACGATCAAAGGCTATTCGGCTGTCGAGCAGGATTTCGGATTGAAAAGTTACCCCTAAACCCTAAATCCTGTGCCTTGTAAGAGCAATCTCGTCGGCATCCGACTTTCGGGATTCTTGGTTTGGAGCTGTAGTGGTCCATGGAGTTCACTATACCACAATACATGTCGGGCTCCGACAAGATACTGTCGCCAGTCTGCATCAAGTGGCCCCAAAATGTATATTGAGAAAAGACCCCCTAACTTCAAAGACACCGAAACCCTAAACCCTAAAAACCCTATAAACCCTATAAGCCCTATAAGCCCTATCAGCCCTACACAAGCCCTACGCCATATACCCTGAACCCGAAACCCTAATGTTTTAAAACAACTCGTTATTGCGATTGCATCTGCAGGCTGACATTGCCAGGAGTCACTTGGTCCGAATTCAGAAGTCTGACTGGCACTTTTTTTCAGTAAAGTACTAGAGTATACCCCCGAAGCCTATTCTACAAGTGTTTGGGCGCTAGGATGCGCGGTTTCGGGTTTAGTGAGGTTTGGGGTTTCAGGGATTTCGTCGGGTTTCGGGCTCAAAGTTAGGTGCTAGTACGACTTGGCTTTCTTTGCTGTAGTTCTTCAACAAACCGGTTCGAGATCAGGTAAACATTGCCTGGACCTCGGTAAAGGCTCCGCGTTACGATTTCCGTAGATATCGCTACGATGGCAATTATGTGTATATAGCACTAGACCCTAAACCCTACTCCCAGAACTGTTCAACTCGGACTCTTAGCCCCCGAAATCCCCTCCAGCTAGTCCCTCATGGCTGGTCTCAAGACGTAGAATAGGGTGTAGTCTGCTACCGTCTTATAGGGGGCTATCAGTTGTTAAGCAGACAGTATTGCTTAGTAGTGTGAACACATATTGCAAGGGCTTTCAACCCTAAGCTATACAGACAACAAAGCCGCATGAAGCCCTGGCTGTAAGATGCAACGAGGTTCTGAAGTGGCCTGGGAGGAAAAAGTGTACAGCTTTATGACATAATTGGGTCGAAAAGAAGTACTAATAAACGGTACTCCAGAACCATGCTAGGGTGCATTATAAGCACCTGCAAGAAAGTAGGTTCTGGTAGGTGGGGCCTCAACCCTAAACCCTAAACCCTGCAAGGTTTTTGTCATGGCAAGATGCAGGTCGGCAAGGTAGGCGGCGACGTTTGTCAATTGTCGAGGGGGTTGAACCGGTTGAGCACACACCTCCAGGGTCGGGGTTTACGGTCTAAGGTTTGGGGTCTGGCGTTTGCGGTTTACGGTTTAGGCCTCCATTAGATGGGCGTGCCGGCGGCTCAGTGAAATTTCCAGCGGAATGCACCAATGGAATATTGAGCCAAAGGCTTCGAAGCGATTCAGAGTAAACCTAAAGCCAACTTCAAGGGTCTACGGCAAGAGGCGTTCATCGAAGAGCTGGAATGTGTGGCGAATGTATGCTTGCAAGGCACACCTGCCTTTAACCAAAAAACTTTATCAATATGTGATTCTTACAACACGGTTTTGCGGTAGATTGTACTACAATTTTGATCGGAAAACTATTAAAATATGGCTGCTGTATTGCTGAATTACGGTGAGAAGGTAGAACCGCGGCAGTCAGGTTTTGCTTTAGGGCATCTGGCTTGTCGGGTTAGGGTTTTTAGGGCTTAGGGCCTAGGGTTGCAATAGGGCTTCGGGTTCAGGATTTAGGGCTTTAGGAATCCTGCACATCCTGCACATCCTGCACCGCCGCCATAGTGCTTGAGGGCTCTCTTGCACCCGACTCTGGGACTTGCCCGAAACCCTTAAGTTTACTCTCTTCATTTCTCTTCATATCCCTCGCACCTCCAGCCTGGTTGACATGTCTTTGTTACGTTTAGTTTAGGGTACCTCGGGTTTAGCTTGGCGCCCAGGGCCTAAATCTTCAATTTGTTCAGGGTTTAGGTTGCGGGCCTTTTCTCTGAGCCCACCTGGCCTAGCCCTAAATCCGCACATGCGAAAGCGTGTTGAGACTGTCAGCACCTAATGAGATCAAGCAAGATCTTAAGACAAAAACCATTATAGAACAACTACAATAGCTACGACAATGGTCTGCAAACAAGAAGAATAACAACACTAGGTCAGGGCTATCCACATGTTGTCGATCTACTGAAGGATTACGTGCGGAGACTGTCGATGACCAGAAACCTGAATGGCCCATGTTTCATGATGTACTAAACGGAACTTACAAAAACAAGGGAAAATGCATGGTACTTAAGCAAGAACCCTAAAATCATACACCCTCGTGAACCTCGAGCACCACTATGGGTTTCAACTTTATTACTGTTATCTATTTCTTGCCAGTGCAGCTGGATTCTGTGGGGACCCAAATACTAAACCCGATCACTATCGGGCACATGCAGTCAATAAGGTGGTGCAGGATTCTGCTCATCAGGGCTCTTGTAGGCTTGAATGCTTTTTGGCAGTGTCTAGTACAAAGATATGTCACAGGCTGTTAAAACGCCTTGAATCGGATGCTTATTTCGCAGGAACTGGGCTGAACGCTGAAAATGCCCGAACCCCCTGAAACTGAGGGTCTAAGGGTTTTTGGGGTTTTGGGTTTCGGGTGGAGTCCAGGATCAAGAGTCAGTCAAGGGTTAAGCAGGCCGGCATCACAAGCAGCGGGAAAAAACAAGAACAGAACGACTTGGGAATCAAGAGCTCGCACCTTGGAGGCTTGTCCAAACTTGGTCCCTCAAAAGGATCGTGCCCATCGAGGAGATGATGCCAGAAAGATGCTTTCCAACCCAACTTACATGCCAGGAACGTCTGAGCTTACAAACAAAGATTACTGTATTCTCGGCCCCAGCCAAGATGTGCCTGCACTTGTAACCAGCATGACGTAATGCACTACTGCAAGGCCTTGTTCGAGATTGTTCAGGATGAGCAACCTTGCAATTGTTATCACCGAGGTGGCTTACTTATCAAAGTCAGCTGGCCTCTGGCTCTTGCGTGGATCCACCCGGGTCGTCAAGCTTCTCCTTACGTGTTTTCTCCGGTGCTCACATGCCTTCTTTCAGGTCCTCGGATCATTCATGTAAGCTGGCGTGGAACAGCTGAGCTGTCACCACAGTACTGTGGACATCCCCAAGACACGACAGACCCATCTGCCAAAATGGCGGCAAATGCACGCTCATTGGCCTGAAGCTGCTGCACGCACTTCAGCTGACTCTGAACTGTGGAGCTGTCGCCACCCCAAGCTGGGAGGCCCCAAGAAACAACAGATCCATCTGCCAAAATAGCGGCAAAGGCATTAGAGGTCGCCTGAAGCTGCTGCACGCCCTTCAGCTGACTTTGGACTGCGGAGCTGTCACCACCGCTTTCTGGATGTCCCCAGGACACGACTGATCCATCTGCCAGAATGGCAGCAAAAGCGACTTTGGTAGCCTGAATCTGCTGCACGCCCTTCAGCTGACTTTGAACTGCCGAGCTGTCACCACCACAGCCTCTATGTCCCCAAGTAATGACAGACCCGTCTGCCAAAATGGCGGCAAATGCACCATGGGTGGCTTGAAGCTGCTGCACGCCCTTCAACTGACTTTGAACTGCCGAGCTGTCACCACCCCAGTCTCGACGCCCCCAAGAAATAACAAATCCATCTGCCAAAACTGCAGCAAATGCACCATGGGTGGCGTGAAGCTGCTCCACACCCATCAGCTGACTTTGGACTGCAGAGCTGTCACCACCGTAATCAGGAGTGCCCCAAGAAACGACAGATCCATCTGTCAAAATTGCAGCAAATGCGCTCTCATTGGCCCGAAGCTGTTGCACGACCTTTAGTTGACTTTGAACTGCTGAGCTGTCGCCACCGTTGTTGGGATACCCCCAAGAAACAACAGATCTATCTGTCAAAATGGCAGCAAATGCACTCTCGTTGGCTTGAAGCTGCTGCACGCCTTTCAGGTGACTTTGAACCGCCGAGCTGTCACCACCGAAGACTGGACTTCCCCATGAAACGACAGATCCATCCGCCAAAATGGCGGCAAAAGCAACTTCGGTAGCTTGAATTTCCTGCACGCGTTTCAGCTGACTTTGAACTGCCGAGCTGTCACCACCGTACTGTGGATGCCCCCAGGACACGACAGACCCATCTGCCAAAATCGCGGCAAATGCACAACTTGTGGCTTGCACCTGCTGCACACCCTTCAGCTGACTTTGAACTGCGGAGCTGTCACCACCACAATTAGGGTGGCCCCAAGTTATGATCCTTTCACCTCCAGGGAACCACAGCGCGAAGGCTCCGCCTCTATCATCATTCCATAAATCTGCCAGGCTTGTTCCCACCAAGCATGGTTGCAGCACAAAAGCTGTGACATGGTCTCCGTCTTGTAGCCCTGCAGTCAGCAAAGACTGCTGAAAGTCGTCAAGCACACGCCCCTCCGTGGTGACAAGCCTGAGGAATCCTTGCTGCAGAGTTTGCTGGGCCAAAACCTTCAAGTCACCCACTGTGGAGCCTTGATCAACTGAAAAGCATTCAACCCGGCCACTTGGCAAAGCGACAGTCACCTGAAGCATTTCGGGCAGCTGTGAATTGCCAATGGAATGCAAAGAGCGGTTACACAAACATTAATCGTTCTCATTGTGCTTGAGTCAAAAAAATGATCCTAGACAAATACAAGTATCACTGGTTCTCATTGCGCTTGAGTCAAAAGATGGTCCATTGGGCGGCCCGTGGCGAAACAATGTGAAAACAACAACTTGCACAAACTACCAGCGAATTGCCTAGCGACTCCATTGCGTGGTGACCCCCCCCAAACAGGTCATCATAACAAAACAATAGGGTGATAGGGCATGAGGTTATACTTAATATAAATAATATTTCACTCAATTCCACACGAAAACATATTGAATCACTTGGGTGGTGCCGGAGTGGTTCAGGGCAACTGTGAAGGAGTGGAGATGTGTTTCCAAAACATCCCGAGCAAGAACAACCATGCTCGGCCAAAGCGCAGTCAACTCACCAGCATCTTCAGATTATGACTCTTGAAGAAGGTATTCGTGTGGATACAGACCCAACTCCCAATTCTCCAACAGCGCCAACTTAGCAGGCGCACTGAACAGCCACCGAAGAAGCAAAGAAGTAGCATTGAACCAGCTGACTACATAACATTCTAGTTTCGCAGAATCGTGTGTTTATCCATCTAGATTTGGCATCGATCTGCACATATGAGAAGCCTGAGAAGCCGGAAGAAGTTTTGCGATGATCCTCCCGAGTTGGCTGTGCATGACGTTTTCCGCCAAAGAAAAGCGTCGCACAAACATACATGTGCAAATATACCACGTGAATATATGATTATACGTGTATATAGACACGTACACACACACACACACATATATATATATATATATGTATATATATATATACATATATGGTAACCCCCTATTGATCCACACTTCTCTATATTTCAATCCTATATATTACATTCACCATAGAGAAGCATATATGTGGGAAAGGGGGTTATCAAGCTATAGCACACTACATAGGTTAATTACGTTAAGAGACGGTAGATTCACTAGGAGTGCGTGAAGCATAGCAGTATGGAAACAGATTCGACTCTGACCTTTGTATAGAAGAACCATAAACACAACCAAAAACAAACAAAAACACAAGAACCAAAAACAACTAAAAACACAAACAACGAAAACAACAACAAAAACCAAAACAAAACAACAAATCCAGTCCTATGTGTTGAACAGGGTCCGGAGTTTTGGTGTTTTTTTTGTTAGCTTTTTATTTGTTTAATTTTTGATCTTCCCCACCCTCGGTTATTTTAAAGTCAGCTATTTCTCCTCGCCCTCTGAGACTACCTCCTGGAGTGCCCAACCCCAAGACTAGCGTGAGACTCCCTGGAGTGTCCAACCCCACAGACTACCATGAGACTCCCTGGAGTGCCCAACCCCACAGACTACCCAACCCCACAGACTAGCGTGAGACTCCCGTGAGACTTGGAGTGCCCAACCCCACAGACCACCGTGAGGGTGGGGATGTTCGAAGTAAAATAATTTGTTTTTTGTTTCTTTGATTTTTTTAGTTACCCCACCTGCCTGCCTCAGGTACGCTGCCACATTCCGCATTGCGCATTCTATAAAGCATTTTAGAAAAGAAGTGATATACAGGATCCGTTTCTACGCATTCTAACGGGTATTCTATAGGGTATTCCAGACAGTATACACGGTATTCGATAGGGTGTTTTTCTAGGAATATATTTTCTAAGGTATTTAAGATGTGTCGTACCAGATAGGATACAGGGTATTCTATA